GTCTATTTTAAAAACCAGGAAACATTATGGGAGGGACTCCTGTAGTCCTAGATTTTATGAACTGCCAAAAAATCTACAGTAATAAGTGGGAAGGGAGAGAACTCTGCCTGAGAAGTGAGAGACACATTATTTCACGTTAGGAGTGGGCTAACCATACTGTGGTAGAATGGGAACTGCCCCAGAGACCAGTTGTAAGGAAACAGTCCTCCATTTTAGCAGACTGAAGTACTGAAGGGGAAGCTGAACACATGTAGTTTTAGTATATGCTGTAACAAACATTTATTTAAATAAATCACTGCCATGTGAGCTCTGCCATCAGCAAGCTTGGCAAGAAGAACAGACTTTTTTGTGAGCTCATGAAAGCAACATTTCTTCCTGCTTAAAATGAAGATGAAGATGATGCACTGCTGATTTCACTGTGCTCTGCTCCTTCAGAGCTGCAATGCAGTCTCATAGACAGAACCTCTCTCCTCTCCCCACTCTAGGTATGCCTCAGGATTCTCTAACTCACAAGAGATTACTTAGGATTCTCTACTTTTACTTCAGATTCTCCCTTTCTTCCTCTTCAGAAACATTCATTTTGCTTTCTGAGCTTTCTTTTTCTCACCGTCTGTTAAATGTATTCAAGAGCTGCAAATACAGGACAAAGAAAAGACCACATTTTAATACAGCCAAATGCAAAGTTATGCATTTGGAGCAAGGTCTGGTGGCCATAACTAAAGAATGGGGAACTATATTCTGAAAAGGAGTGACTGTAAAGGATTTGGAGGTCATACTGAACAAGCAGCTCAGTGTCTCAGTGTCATGCTGTCCAAAAATGGTAACAAATCTTTGGCTGTGTAAATAGGAAAGTAGTATGCTGAAACAGGGAAATGATTTTCCCTACTGGACCATTGTGAAGACAAACACTAGAAAACTCTCCTGTTCTGGGGCCCACAGTTTAAAAAACATTTAAAGACTGGGACATGCGAACGGAAGAGCCAAAAAATGATTCACAAGCTAGAGAAAATGCCTACAGTGAAAGGCTTAAGGAACCTGGCTGTTTATATTAACCATAGGAAGTTTGGGAGGTGACTTGACTACCAACTACAAGCACCTTCTTGGGGAGAAAATGCTGGGTATTGAAGGGCTCTTTAATCTAGCCAAGAAAGTTGCATTACAAAAGAATGACTGGAAGCTGAAGTCAGACCAATTCAAATGAAAAGTAATGCACACATAAACAGTAAGGAACAAAAACCACTGAAACAAACTACAAAAGGAAGTGCTGGATTTTCTATTTCTTGATGTCTTCAAATGAAAATTAGATACCTTTCTGGAAGAGATGCTTTAGCCAAACAAGTTTTGGGGCTCAACACAGGTATGACAGGAGGTCAGACTTGATGATCCAAAAGTAACATCCACCTTACACCACATATCCACAATATTTAGAGCAAGAACTGAGCTATGGAGAACCTGTGGTCCATCCTTCTAGCATGGCCCCCTCAGATGAAGTTGTTTTCCTCAGTAATTGAATTTTTAAATGAACATCTTTATGGTAGCGTGAAATAGAGACATGAACTCTTGAAATTTAGGCTTTTTCATACGGGTTCAGAGAGGTAGTTAGCTGTATTAGTCTGAGGTCAGGCAGAAGCTGAGTGGCACCTTAAAGACTAATGAGTCTTTATGACTAATAAATTAGCCTCTAAGCTACCGTCTTGCCCTGTCTTATACATATGGGTTTAGTAAAAGAAAGCTCTTCAAAGTCAAGAAGACACCTTTTCAGAACATTTTCCACAGTGCTATACTGTGCTTCAGCCACTGACTCTGTGTTGGCTCCAACTACTCTGCAAAATGGCCCAGATCTGATACAGACCACATAGGAACTTTATTTGAAAGCAAGTTTCCAAAATTTGTTCAAGAGTCAGAAGCTTATTGAGACCAGCTGTTTCAAAAGTAGCCAAAATCTAATTTGCTTTACTGTTAGGAAAGCTTCCTGGTGTGAGGCCTATAGTTTTCTTTATACTAGCTGGGCCCCTCTGTTGGCCGACTCTACAGAAACAACAAGGTTTAAACAGGCCTGAGACTGAATTCCTCCCCCTCATATATATGATCCCTCCTAGTCAAGGTTATACTGCTACTCCCTGGGCTACAGGTCAACAAAAATGAGAAGTTTTATATCTTACTGCAAGTCCCTGAGCAATCCATTTTCCAAAGCAAGTCACTTGCCTCATGGTTAAATTAGGAAAAAGGTTCTCATAAATCCCGGTCTTTGTGCAAGTCTCGCAGAAGCAAATGCTGGCAACCCAGCCCAAAGAGGATGCATTTGATGACTGAAGATAAGAAGAGAAAGGTAGATAGCTATGTCAGTTCGAAGTCAGGAAGAAGTCAGGGTAGATTTGTACTTTATAGACTAACTAAATCAGAAGTGTATAGCATAAGCTTTTGTAAACAGAAGGCTTACTTCACCAGATGCTATGAAAGGATCTTCTCAATGTCTGATGAAATAAGCCTTCTGTTTATGAAAGCTTATGCTAAAATAAGGACCCAGCCAGCTCAGTCAGATGTACCATTTTAATAGATTTACTGAGAACAAGTGATGGAGGCAGAAATAAGATCACTAGTGAGATCACCAGCTGGAGAATCAGACAGGCAAAATTAGTTAATGTTTGTACAGCACTTTGATGATGTACCCTGTTACCATATATAAATATTAAGGAAAACGATTATCGCAGATCAAAGGCAAAATCCACCGCTCAGAATGGTAGTTCATTAGTGACAGCCACATCAGATCAAAGCGTGACATAATCTTTCGTGTTTCTGGTGCTTTTCACCCTGTTTGTCTTTTAAAGGAAAAACAAACAAGACACTACATTACAGAAAAAGACACCTAAAAGTCACAACAACATTTTAAAAATATCCTCCATCTGCCAATTTCTGTCAGATCATCAATGCTGAGAGCTACAACAGGTAGTGTCTAAAATAGCTCTGGAAAAAGGAAATTAAATCAAAACCAGTTATGCTACTGAAGCATCTGCCAAAGAAGTGTAAACCCCTGCCACCAAAGTCATGGGAAGCTCTAAGTCAGATGTAGAGATGAAGAAAGGAAATCACTACAGCCAAAGGCAGGCATAGGGGACAGAAGAAATGGTTAATACATTGGACATCACAGGGGAAAAGAGAGAAGAGGGAGGGTGTATAAATCTTTGTTGCGTCTGTACAGCACCAAGCACAAGAGGGTCCTGGTCCAGATGCTGCCACAACACACACATAAATATTATGGTGAATACTAATACAGAAGAGCTGAAACTGTATACTAGCATGGGTGAATGCCTTGGCCGAGGGCATAAAGGATGGGCTACAATTTCAAAATATAAAGAAAGTAACAGAAGGATTTGGGAAAGGAAAAAGGAAAGATCAAACTAGACACTAATACTGCAACAATTTGATGATGGCTGATAGCAATAAGACTGAGGAGTCAGAGGAGAAAGAGCTAGTTGGTTTTTCCCATGCTATACGCCCTATTGTTGACTGCAAAGAATTCTGGTTTTAACTGGCCAGCAGCTCTTTATAAACTCCATTTCACTGGAGCTCTCTCCAGCTGGTACAAGATCTCATAGCTCTTTTGAGACCATGCATCAGCTCAGTATCAGCTAGCTTCCCACAAGTGGAGATGACATCCATACTCTTCACAAACAAGGGCATCTTACATCTGCAAGGGATCCTAAGTATCCAAAAATAGTTTTGTATAGACATCAAATCTATCCCCAGGTGAGTTAGAACAGCTCATTACTAGTTTTCTACCAACTCAGCTCAGCATCTGCCTCCTTCCAGGCCTTTTACCTCAGGTGCAATCAAGACACCTTTATATGACATTTTCAGTGCTTATTACTCTGACCAGGCAGCATCCAAGCTGGTTCTGCCAAGTCACTCGGGACTAGCAGGAGGATGACCAAGACATACAAATAGGTCTTTTCCATCTCTGCTTTGTTGCATTTTCTCCCAGGTTTACATTACCTGCATGTGGACTCAGTACCCACTCATTCAGATGTCCTAGGACTTTTTAAGTGAAAAAGGAAGCTTAACATATTGCACAGAAAAAAAAAACGACAGCGATCCCTGCATCATTTTAAAAAACCCAAAATAACACAGATGTGTCAAGGAAAAAGTAGTGGTGATCACGTGCCTAGCACTAGGGTGGCCAGACTGGGGCCCACAGTTACACTTTTATATCCTCTCTCACACAGCGAAGAGCTAAAGCAGGGGCAGGCAATTATTTTGGGCAAAGGGCCACTTACCGAGTTTTGGCAAACTGTTGAGGGCTGCATTCCCCTTTCCAGGGCAGGGAAGCAGAAACAGCCCCATGGTCCCAGCCCAGAAGCCTCTGCTAGGCTGGTTGGGGGGCAAGGGCTGGGCAAACTTTGCTGCTGGGTCTGCCACTAGCTTCCTCTTGGTTCTACCGCCCCTGCTTCCTGTCATCTTTGACAGGCAGCTAGGAGCAAATAAATATTAATTTTCTAATTTTTTAGGGGCCCCACGGGCCAGACAGAATGGCCTGGTGGGCCGAATCCAGCCCCCGGGCCGTATTTTGCCCACCCCTGAGCTAAAGGATCCAGAGTGGATTATGATAAAGTGAGCCTGTTTTAAACTTCTCAAATGATGCCCTGAAGATTTAAATACCACAGATATTTCTAAACAACTGAGTGCTTTGGTATTCAAGTGCCAAAAAGAAAGGTACTAAGATACAGGAGTGCAAATTAATGCAGAAGGTGCTATTCAGTGACACTACAGGTTGCAGGCTGCAATACTGGGGTATTTATTTGAGCAGCAACAGCTTCCATAATAAAGAAGAAAATTTCAACCCTGAGCTTCTTTATCTGGATATATCAGTTGAACCCATGGGCTGTCTGCCAACTGCCAATGTAGCTGTCTACCAACCACAAGTAGACATCCCTGAGATGGCAACAAATGCCTTTGCTCAAGCACTGGCTCTGAAAGGGTATGAATATGGAATGCATACTTACAATTTGTTTCTGTTTCAAAGGCTTCACAGAGAAACTGCCATCAACGTGCTGGGGGGTGGAGAGAGATATACACATTAGTTAAACACTCTATATAGAAATATTTAAAGAAGCTGTGAGGTGGACTTAGATGCCCCAACAGGACTAGTTCTTTCTTAATCCATCTGCAAGCATCATTTGACACACTATAGCAGAGGTGGCCATACCACGGCCCATGAGCTGCATGCAGATCATCAGCACAGTACTTGCAGCTCTCCTAATTCTCCCGGGACTGCCAGCTCAGGCACCAGGCTGCTGGGGTGGGGGCTATAGCTGAACTGCTTACCCTGGGGTGTGCTCCCCACAGGGAAAGCCAGAACAGGTCGACACTGCAGCAGTGGGGTGGGAAGGGTGAGGGGAGAAGGAGGGGAGAGGTCACCTCCACTCTGGATTGCTCAGCCTCCGCCCACCCTACTCTCCCCCCTGGCCTCTTGAACTTCTGTTGAGGACTGGATGCAACTCCCAGGGTGACCAACTCTGGCCACCCCTGCACTATAAGAATAGAGACTGCATGCTACTTCACAAAATGCTGCAGCACTTGGGTTCTTTATGCATTTGCCAGGCACACAGAACATGTTGGAGCATTTCAAACCAGACTTACAGACAGATGGTCCTCACCTGGTCCTGGGAATGGTACTTTTAGCTTAGTTAAAAATTATAGCTCTCAGGATTTCTGCTTACTTAATAGTTAGTAATGTTATATCAGAAAAAATGCATCTACAACAGCTGCCCATCATGAGGGCCCTTCAGTCACCCCTCTACTCAGTCCTTCCAGAGCACATTGATTCTGTAATCAAGGCAACATGTGCTCCAAGATGTTTGCAGAAGAAAACAGAAAACCATACTTCTGATTTCAGAGGAAAAGGCCCCACTGAAGAAAGCTGTGGTTGTGTGTTCAACATCCAAAGACAAAGTTACACTAACTGGAGGTACAAGCGCAAAAGGTAGGCGCTGAGTATGGAAGGTCTTTCTTTATCTGCATTATCTGGCTTATAGTAAGGACATCATCTTACAGAGTTCAAAGGGAGCAAAAATCTCAAGAGACCCAGTGATAAGACCAAATAAAAACATTTTCCCTGAAGTTTCACACTGCTTGTGTGGTCTCCTCTACAGACCTACAGGGAAGGAAGGAATCCAAGTTAATGTAATCAGTTACCTTGGGAGACTGCACTCCCCAAAAGCATTTATGTATTTTAGGATACCAGAAGTATATCCAACTACTCTGTAATAAACCTAAACATCATGGGTTCTTGCTTTACGGATGCACAGTACAGATAAGCAGCTTTAATTATCATGAGGAAACTGCTCCATTCACCAGAAAACAAAAGATAATGGAACATATATTAGAGCAAAATAATGTTGCCTGTACATTAATCTGTCTATAAAGGGGCTTCATTAAAACTGACTTTTCTTTTCAAATGAAATCCTGAAAGGAAGTTGTTCATCTGGGACCCCATCAGAAATGCCCAGAGATTATCTGCTAACTGATTCAATAACCACTAACCACTGAAAGGAACCTCTGAGGTTCACAAAGTTAGGATTCCTTCTGAATTAATTTTGCATTTGCAGTGACCTTCTGTGCATCCCAACTGATGCAGAGACCGAATGCAGAAGGTGCTCTGACCCTACAAAAAACAAGTCTTACAATGCGTCCGCACTGTAGCAGTAAACCCAGGAGATTTGGAGAAATATTCCAGCTGTTGGGTTCTCATCCAAAAGAAAAGCTTGCCCAGTGGTTCTCTAGCAAGTCAAAACTGTCCTTATTTTAAAGCTGTCACTACATCACTGTAGAATAACTTCTCAAATGTGGGAAACTAACTAAGGACAAAGGGAGCTTCTGTCCCTGTGACTTGACTTCAACCTCAGCGCTTGTCTTTGCCTGCGGAGACCCCTGCCTTCCCTCAGTTTGTACAATCAGGGTTTATTGAGATCCAAGAAGCAGTACACATGGGTTCGCAGGCTTTTCATTTTGTGTATGCACAAGTCATACAGCTTTCCCACAGCAACACGTAGGGCCTAACTATCCTATGTGGGCAGCATTATTGGTTTGTATTTGTATGACTTCTTAAGGCTACAGAGATGGGTTCCATATACGTAACTGGCATGAAGGGAAAGCAGCTGCTATCAACTAAAATTATATCAGTTTAATAGAGTGCTTCAATTGGTGACGAAGACATTTCACTAGGACCAATTCTTATTCTGCCCCTTTGTCTCAGCACAGTGGAGAGGGAGCATTTATAAGGGGCCACAAGAGATTTCTAGATGCATCTCTTTTAGTGCTGCCTCCCCCTCAGCCAGCGGCCACTGTGCCTCCATCACTAGCCCTGCATCATGACATGCTTGATGAAGATGCAAACCTGCTAAAGGAGTAGAAGCTATGAGCTTTTTAAAAACTTGTTAAATAATTAACAGCTGTGCAAGGACATTTCAAGACAGACATGTGACATAAGTGAGAGAATCAATATGCGGCAGAGAGAGCAAGCAGGAATGCAAATGGGCAACCAGGCAAAGGGCATGGGGAAGGAAGGGCTTGGTTGATGGCAGCAGCTAGAGTTGTAATTTTCTCACAACAAGATCAGCAACAGAGGCCAGGGGAAAGGGGCAGCAACTCCACATGTCCTCCGCAACTTAATATATCACACAGTAGTATAATTAAGTAGGCCACCAACCCTGGGCAATGACTTAGGGGGCATGCAAAAACATAGGCAGTGGTGGTGGCTGCTATCTGGCACTGCAAAACTACCCAGGTACACCTCTGTACCATCTCAGGTGGACAGCGTGGCCTCAGTCCTAAAGGGCAGGGCTCATAGATGGGCATGTAAGTGACCAGGAGCCCATTTCTGCCCCTCCCCATATTTGAAATAGGAGGCAGGGCCATGATGATGACGTGCTTTATACGCACCAACTTCACACCATCAGTTAATTCCTATAGACTCTAAGAGCCCTCTATAGACAGGCCCTGAATCAAGAGCATGTGACAGACTCTACCTACAACCATAAAGTGTGGTGAGGTAAGAGGGGGGAAAAGCATGATACAACTCAGGACAGGGCGTCAAGATTGCTGGCCTCTAGTCCTGGCTCCACTACCAATTCTGCATGACCTGGTAAACATCACTCAACTACTTTATGCCTCAGTTTTCCCAATCATAAAAATTCCTGCCTGCCTCTCATGGATTGGGGGCACTGATCAATGACTGTAAAGTGTCTTGGATGGAGAGTGTTTCAAATATGGAGTGCTATTAGCCTTGGGCACATGATTGGCACTTGTTAATAAGCCACATTCCTGCTGTACTTTCATTACCTTTTTTCTTCAGTCTGCATAGGCTCATTAACACCAGTTTCATAGAACTTCAATACTATCATTGCTGCCTATTCATTGATCTCCCTTTCACTGAATTTTATTCCCAGTTATGATGCATTTCAGAAGAGCCCAAACTTACCACCTCCTTCTTCCTCCTCCATTAATGTACTTTGCTTTTAGCACAAAGATGTATATTTTCTAGCAAGTGTCTCAGCTCATGGGGGCATGTGGTATTCCAGTCCAGACCAAGAATCAGAGTTACAAAGGGACAGACTCAGTACAGCAAACAGAGCAATGAACCAACTTTAGTGGAATTTCTCATAAGAAAATATGGTAGTGGAGGGTGGACTGGTGCAAGGACAATCTCATTTTATCCCAACAGCACTGGTTATCCACTTTATTACCAGCTAATCAGGGGTTGTCTATATAGGATTATCCAGGATTAATATAGCTGTAGTGGAATAACTAAACCGCTTTAGTTGTAACAGTGTAACAGTGTAAGTTCGACACGTAGGCCACAAACAGGCATCACATTTATTGTGGGACAAACCATTTATCCTGGGACAAAGTCCAGTCATTCAGATGTCCAGATTAAATTTTCCTGGGATAAATCCTTAAAATAGTTAGTTGCATAAGAAGTTTATCCCAGGACATCATGAAGTAAGCCTGAACGGTTATCCCAGGATTGCATCACTGAATCAATGCCGGAAAAGTGCAGTGCAGTTAGCCGCTTGCTAAACCCTGTTCTTAGAAGGGCGATGTGTGTGTACACCAATACCAGGACATTTCTGTTCTGGGACAAACACCGGCATAACTTGTCCAGGGACAAATGTAATGTCTCTTCCTGGCCACAGATGCATTTATTCTGCAATAAGAATGGGCTTTTCTATCTCAAACCCATTTCAAAGCAATGTAAACTAAAACAGAAAAAAGCCATTCATTTCAGAATAAGAGTGTCTGCATGGAAGAGTTAGACTGGCATAACTATATTGATTTTATTGATTCCAATTCACTCTCTACCTTAACATGCATTTAATATGGGGTAATGGGCTCCAGGAAGGAACTAAATGATGATGAATGAAAAAAAAAAATCAGATTGTGAAATTTCAGGTACTGCAGGCTAAATATGGAAATGAAACCTTGAAAAGAAGTTGTCCACTGGAAAACTGAAAGGGTATTTCTATCCTGAAAAGAAATATGTAAAACTGACCAGCCCCACTGTGGTATATTCACTAAGATTACTCCCCATAGTTCTTTTCAGTTAGAACAGGAGTGGGCAATTATTTTGGGTGGAGGGTCATTTACCCAGTTTTGGCAAGCCATTGAGGGCCACATGGGTAGCCCCGCACCTTGACAGGTACCCCGCCCCTTGGTTGCCATCTTGGGGCCACAGGTCCACACCCCCTAATCCCTGAACTTTGCCATCAGAAGTCCCTCCCTTTGCCCCCAAGAAGTACTCCTTTCAGCAAGGGGGTTTGCCATCTCCAAACCAAAAAAATACCAAATTATATTCTAAAAATCAAACATATACTACAACATTCATTAATTTCATTTCAAAAAATATTTCTGTCCTGATTTACATGTGTAGTGTACGTAGAGGCGATGGTATAATAGCTTAAAATGAAGTTTTATTTTTGTATATTGTGGGAGGGTATGTGCAGGTGGATAGAGTTTGTGTGTGTGTGGGGGGTGGTTTGTGGGGGGGATGAAT